TCGTTGATCGCTCGGCACTAAACCAACATAAACTTAAGAACAGTTCTTTTAATTTCATAAACAATTTTATAGCGATTTTTAAAAGAAGTATTAATTAATAGAAAGTATCGCTGCCTGCATACTGAATAATTTTAGACGCAATACGATGGTAATGATAATACGTTTGAGCAACCTTACATTTCAGAAACCGAAATTTTGCGGCTATTTAAAATAGTAAAATACTGCACCTACTCGAAGTATCTTTAATGATGACAAATTCATTGACAAGCAATTGAACAGCACGACATCAGGGAAGTCGCTGAATTAGTTAGGTCCTTCTTGCTCGCAACCGCTTCGACGTTTCTCCAATTCGGCGACCCACTGCAGAACGGTCGGGTTTTGGAAGGTGCCTTGGGTTGACGTGAAAAATGGTTGAAGGAAGTTTGGACGGTTAAGAGTTCGTTCGTATTCGAACGCCTGCATGATCATGTCGAATTTGTCCAGATCTTTAACGGCCTTCGCTTCAGCCGTAGAACATTCTTCGAACTCCTTCCACAGGTCAAACATGGTCCTGCCGACTTCATCTGAAACAACAGCCTTGAAAACGATCAGAAACACCCACTAATAAATGAAGCAATGGAAAACGACAAAGAACACTCCAACTTTATTTAACTTCAACTTTGATTCTGGGCTCACTGATTAACGTACCTTCTGCCACTTACCTGAAACTACTTGGACAGCCAAAACGAAGCAAAAGAAACGGAGAGGAACCAACACAATGGAAAAAAAGAAAGAGGGAGATAAATACTTATAAGTATACATGCTGCATTTTGCCGTGGCACTGTTGTTGTCGCCATTTTCTTAGGCAGTGACGCAGAAAGAAGCTTCGACTTTGACTGAGCTTTAGCCGTGTCGGTTTGAACTGTACAGAAGCGAAAGCTCTTGAGCAACATTACCTTAACTCTCTCATCGGTTTCGATGAAATTTGCTGAAAAAAAGGGGCAGCGTCGTGCTTTAGCGTGGACATGCCAGGGCTTGCGAGGCCAACGGTCATGCTGTTTGACGCGTGCGCTTATGGCCATAATTCGCCATAATCAGTCTATACCTAATAGCTTTCTAAATCAGCACAATGTATAACCCGTAAATTTTAAAAAATGTCACTTTAGCAAAGCCTGAACAGTAGGGTAGCCCTGATTTTGCATGTTAGAGTTCTATTCGTCGTCGAATCACAACGAGTCGTTCTACTGCAAAAGAACGTGAATAACGCGTGAATTACTGGGCAACAGCAGTATGATTCGCTGTAGAGCCTGCTCTTCTCTTTTCAGCTTCTCTTCGTGACTGACGCCACACATCGGCGTGATGTCGCCGACAATGCTCTCAGCCAGGTCGTGCACCAGGGACATCATCATACACTTTGTCTTGTCCAGCGTCGTCCTCGAACCGGAATCGTCGTTGTCGCCGAGCAGAAGCGACAGCATGGCCATACGGTACATGTGACCAGACACGGTCTCTGGATGTTCGACGCCGTTGTTCACCCAGCCGGTTCGCGGCAGATGCTTCAAGCGACCCAACAGCTCACAGAACGTCAGTATGTCACATGGCTTCATGCTGAAAGCGACCAATCGATGGACAGAACTTGCTTAGCTAGAAAAAATTTCGTGTAAAATGAGTTCAATTCAACGAGTTAAACGGAGCGATCGAAATCACGGACAGTCGCAACTCTACTGTCAAACGCAGCATGCAACTAAGCATTCTGGTTCTCAATGAATCCACTAGTCTTAGATTATGACCTGTGCGTGAAACCGGGCACATAAATGAAATGATGGTGGTATGGAAAGTTACACTAAAATAACACTGAACTCAAATCCTGAAATGATGGTGGAATGGAAAGTTACACTAAAATGACACTGAACTTAAATCGGAAAGAAGTAACCATTTTGACTTTTCAAATTTCTTACTTTCCAAACTAGGAGTCAGAGAACTTCTCACTAGATAAGCAGAGCCTTTGTCAAATATCGCATTTCACAGCAACTGGAATGTACACAAATCTTGTCGTTGTTCTTGTTGCAATCATCTGGGATATCAAGGGCAAGGGGGGAGTACTCGGATTTAAGATATATGACGCCTTGGCTTACAAACGCACGTACACAAATCTACAATAACTGGTATATGCCAGCGCTGATTCGTCGTCTTACCTTCAACTATTCATAATGAAGGACAGAACAAAGATCTACAAATTAAGATACATTATACACTGAAGGGGGATTTTCGGTCAAGGCAGATAGCTGATTCACTTTCAAATTGCTGACCACATCGAGCTGCAAGGGACGACGGCGAATGAAGCTGAAGCCATGCTATTTGAGTTAGAATTAAAAGGCAAGTAGGTTGGAATTTTGTTAAACAGGTCGATGACGAAGACAACTGGAAACGAATTCGCACAACCACCTACGTGTCATTAACGAATACCAAATAACAGAAGTCACCAGCGCGTAGTATCTGCAGATGAAACATTAACATTTTTTAAACGGAAAATTATCAATTACGGTTAGTTGCATCAAAGCAAGGTACTGCCAACATCTATATATCGTTGCGAAACCTGGGTATTAACGAAAAGGGATGAAGAAGTGTTAAGATAGCAGCAACTGGCTATGGAAAGAAAGATGCTAGGAATTTTCATAAAGCATAACCTGCAATATGAAAAAACGGGACGCACGGAAATGGAGAACGTCGAATCAGGTTCAAAAGAAAGAAAACGACAATGGGGGACGTGACTTGACATCAAATGACTGATGGACTTCAGCAATTACGGACTGGCACTAAGGGGCTGCGAT